ATGGTAGGGATTGGAATGGAACACCCAATACTAGCCATGGTAGGGATTGGAATGGAACACCCAATACTAGCCATGGTAGGGATTGGAATGGAACACCCAATACTAGCCATGGTAGGGATTGGAATGGAACACCCAATACTAGCCATGGTAGGGATTGGAATGGAACACCCAACACTAGCCATGGTAGGGATTGGAATGGAACACCCAATACTAGCCATGGTAGGGATTGGAATGGAACACCCAATACTAGCCATGGTAGGGATTGTGATATATATAAAATATATAAAAGCAATAAAATACAACATTTCTTTAGACTATAACTACACTATGCCTAGATAGGGAATGTTGGAAATTAATTAGTATTAGACTTTCTATTTATAGTATTTCATAAATTGATTAGACAGCTTTAAAAGAAAGGATCATTAGCAAAATAGTACTTCTTCAAATATAAGGAACTGAAACACAAAAGTACTCAATCAACATGGTAGAGGTAAAACTCAGCAAACGGAGGACATAGAAGACACAGTATGTGGGTATGTGTGGATGTATTGTGATGGAAGGTGGGGTGTGTGTTTTTGTGTTTGAGTGGAGTTAAGTGAGTGAAAAAGGAAAACGGTTGCAAACCCCAGCTGACATTCGAATTGCGACAGTCCAGTGGACAAGTTTGGCAGTGTGTTGTGACTCCATCCAGATGAGGAACTTGTTCCAGTTGCTGGCCTGGGTGGAGACGAAACAGCGGAGGAACTTCTCTGGACTGTGGTTGGAGGGAGTCGGTAAGTGCCTGGAAGAGTTGTTCTTGCTGCCGCCCCAGCAGTGCTCCTTGGTGGGTTACAACCTTCTGGATCTGGGTGATCTCTGCTGGGTCCATGTTGTGGGCAGAAGCTTGCTGTGGCATGGTGGATCTGGGTGATCTCTGCTGGGTCCATGTTGTGGGCAGAAGCTTGCTGTGGCATGGTGGATCTGGGTGATCTCTGCTGGGTCCATGTTGTGGGCAGAAGCTTGCTGTGGCATGGTGAGGTTGGACAGAGAAGAGACCAGACAAGGAATCAGTGGTTAAGGATAAACATAATACTTTACTGAGAAACTGTAACCGAATGATCAAAAATCAAATCAAATCAAATGTATTGGTCACATACACATGGTTAGCAGATGTTATTGCGAGTGTAGCGAAATGCTTGTGCTTCTAGTTCCGACAGTGCAGCAATATCTAGCAAGTAATATCTAACAGTTCCTCAACAAAAACCTAATACACACAAATCTAAGTAAAGGAATGGAATAAGAATATATAAATATATAGATGAGCAATGTCATTATCAGAGTGGCATAGGCTAAGATGCAATAAATAGTATAGAATACAGTATATACATATGAGATGGGGTAATGCAAGATATGTAAACATTAAAGTGGCATTATTAAAGTGACTAGTGTTCCATTTATTAAAGTGGCCAGTGATTTTCAAGTCTGTATGTAGGCAGCAGCCTCTCTGTGCTAGTGATGGCTGTTTAACCGTTTGATGGCCTTGAGATAGAAGCTGTTTTTCAGTCTCTCGGTCCCAGCTTTGATGCACCTGTACTGTCCTCGCCTTCTGGATGATAGCGTGGTTAACAGGCAGTGGCTCGGGTGGTAGTTGTCCTTGATTATCTTTTTGGCCTTCCTGTGACATCGAGTGCTGTAGGTGTCTTGGAGGGCGGGTAGTTTGCCCCCGGTAATGTGTTGTGCAGACCGCACCACCCTCTGGAGAGCCCTGCGGTTGTGGGCGGTGCAGTTGCCATATCAGGCGGTGATACAGCCCGACAGGATGCTCTCAATTGTGCATCTGTAAAAGTTTGTGAGGGTTTTAGGTGACATGCCAAATTTCTTCGGCCTCCTGAGGTTGAAGAGATGCTGTTGCGCCTTCTTCACCACACTGTGTGGGTGGACCATTTCAGTTTGTCAGTGATGTGTACGCCGAGGAACTTAAAACTTTCCACCTTCTCCAGTGCGGTCCCGTCGATGTGGATAGGGGCGTGCTCCCTCTGCTGTTTCCTGAAGTCCACGATCAGCTCCTTCGCTTTGTTGACGTTGAGTGAGAGGTTATTTTCCTGGCACCACACTCCCAGAGCCCTCACCTCCTCCCTGTAGGCGATCTCATCGTTGTTGGTAATCAAGCCTACTACTGTTGTGTCGTCTGCAAACTCGATGATTGAGTTGGAGGCGTGCATGGCTATGCAGTCATGGGTGAACAGGGAGTACAGGAGGGGGCTGAGCACACACCCTTGTGAGGATCAGCGAAGTGGAGATGTTGTTTCCTACCTTCACCACCTGGTAGATGGATGATTTTAAATGTTGTTGGACCATAAACTGATATGGCTCATTAATCTATACAGTCCAAATAATGATGATCCACACTTCTTTGAAAATATATATAATTATTGATCAACCCTACAAGCAATACAAGACTCTATTATTATGGTGGGAGATTATAATACTGTTTTAAATAGCTCAATGGACCGTAAAGGAAATCACACTACAAACTATCACCCTCATGCTCTTAAGGAAATCACGAATGTCATGGATATATTGGAACTAGTGGATATATGGAGGCTTAAATATCCTGAGATATACATTGCGGGGACGCAGTCAATCTAGTCGTCTTTCTTGGCACCAAAAGTTTAAAAAGTGTTGATAGGGGACAGAATGCTAATTGTATGGATTGTATGGATATCTTCTCAATTAATAATGTAAAATTAACAGCTGTACAGAAAGACTCATGTGAAGGCCAAATTAGAGAGGAGGAACTTCTGGATGCAATTAAAGCCATTAAGTCGAGGAAAACTCCAGGGCTGGATGGCATACCAGTGGAGGTATACCAAACTTTTTTGATATACTCAGAGGACCGTTATTAGCATGTTTTAACCACTCCTATATAAGTGGTAGATTATAAGACACTCAACAAGAAGGTCTGATTTCATTATTATTAGTGGTCCTCTGTAGCTCAATTGGTAGAGCATGGCGCTTGTAACGCCAGGGTAGTGTGTTCGATCCCCGGGACCACCCATACGTAAAAATGTATGCACACATGACTGTAAGTCGCTTTGGATAAAAGCATCTGCTAAATGGCATATTATTATTATTATTACTGAAACAGGACACTTTTTTGATATACTCAGAGGACCATTATTAGCATGTTGTAACCACTCCTATATAAATGGTAGATTATCAGACACTCAACAAGAAGGTCTGATTTTCATTATTACTGAAACAGGACACAAGTGGTAAATATAAAGATCCAGTACATTTAAAAAATTGGAGGCCTCTTACACCAGTGTTGTGATGCAAAAATTCTAGCAAAATGTATAGTGCATAGAATTAAAAAGGTATTGTCAGATATTATTAATCCTAATCAGACAGGTTTTTTACATGGACGATACATTGGAGATAATATAAGGCAAGTACTGGAAACAATAGAACACTATGGAAAATCAGGGAAACCAGGCCTGCTATTCATAGCAGACTTTGAAAAGGCTTTTGATAAAGTACGACTGGAGTTTATATATAAATGCAAGGAAAAGCAGCCAACAAGTGCTCAGCAAATGTGGGAACTCCTTCAAGACTGTTGGAAAATAATTCCAGGTGAAGCTGGTTGAGAGAATGCCAAGAGAGTGCAAAGCTGTCATCAAGGCAAAGGGTGGCTACTTTGAAGAATCTCAAATATGTTTTGATTTGTTTAAAAAATGTTGGTTACTACATGATTCCATATGTGTTATTTCATAGTTTTGATGTCTTCACTATTATTCTACAATGTAGAAAATAGTAAAAATAAAGAAAAACCCTTGAATGAGTAGGTGTTCTAAAACTTTTGATTGGTAGTGTATATTGTGGATAAAGAGTTACCTGTCTAACAGAACACAGAGGGTGTTCTTTTATGGAAGCCTATCCAACAAAATCCAGGTAGAATCAGGAATTCCCCAGGGCAGCTGTCTAGGCCCCTCACTTTTTTCAATCTTTACTAACGACATGCCACTGGTGGCAAGGAATAAGTTAGTCCTATTTATTTCAAAAACTAAAAGCATTATATTTGGGACAAATCATTCACTAAACCCTGAACCTCAACTAAATAGTGTAATGAATAATGTGGAAATTGAGCAAGTTGAGGTGACTAAACTGCTTGTAGTAACCCTGGATTGTAAACTCTCATGGTCAAAACATATTGATACAACAGTAGCTAGGATGGGGAGAAGTCTGTCTATAATAAAGTGCTGCTCTGCCTTCTTAACAGCATTATCAAAAAGGCAGATCCTACAGGCCCTAATTTTGCACCTGGACTACTGTTCAGTCGTGTGGTCAGGTGCCACAAACAACACAAACATAGGCACAGACACATGCATACAAACACACGATAACATAAGCACTATACACACACGTACACATGGATTTTGTACTGTAGATATGTGGTAGTGGTGGAGTAGGGGCCTGAGGGCACACAGTGTGTTGTGAAATCTGTGAATGTATTGTAATGTTTTTAAATTGTATAACTGCCTTAATTTTGCTGGACCCCAGGAAGAGTAGCTGCTGCCTTGGCAGGAACTAATGGGGATCCATAATAAACCCCAGGAAGAGTAGCTGCTGCCTTGGCAGGAACTAATGGGGATCCATAATAAACCCCAGGAAGAGTAGCTGCTGCCTTGGCAGGAACTAATGGGGATCCATAATAAATACAAATACATAACTACTGACTACCTTTACTTTACTGTCTGTCTTTCAGGAGCCCTAAGACTGAGACTGGGACTGAGAGAAGAGGTGTGGTGTGTCCCTATATACCTACAGCCATGAACAACAGTCTGTACATACCTGGGTAGACTTGACGCACAGACCTGAACACTCCTGACAAATAAATAGACCTGCACTCAGAAGCCTGACCACACTGAGGCCTCCTTTGCTCTGAACGAGCCTCTCCATTGGCTAGCCAGGTGACTGACACACGTCCAGATCAGTGGCTGAGTGCGGTGGGCGGGGTTAAGATGAACTTGTCCAATCAGAGCTGTGGTAGTAGCGTTGAGGACCTGCGGAGCTACCAACATCATGTCTACGCGGTGTTCTACAGCGTCATCCTGGCCCCGGGCCTTCTGGGTAATGTCCTGGCTCTCTGGGTGTTCCAGGCATATGTCAGGGAGACCAAGAGAGGAGTGGTGTTTATGATGAACCTGGCTGTAGCTGATCTCTTGCAGGTAACTATAGAATATATACATTATCATATAAATACACACACACACACACACACTCTATATCGGTCAAAAGTTTTAGAACACCTACACATTCAAGGGTCTTTCTTTATTTTGACTGTTTTCTACATGGTAGAATAATAGTGAAGGCATCAAAACTATGAAATAACACATATGGAATCATGTAGTAAACAAAAAAGTGTTAAACAAATCAAAATATATTTTATATTTGAGAATCTTCAAATAGCCACCCTTTGCTTTGATGACAGCTTTGAAAAAACTATTGGCATTCTCTCAACCAGCTTCATAAGGTAGTCACCTGGAATGCATTTCAATTAACAGGTGTGCCTTATTAAAAGTTAATTTGTGGAATTTCTTTCCTTCTTAATGCGTTTCAGCCAATCAAGGTAGGGGGGGTATACAGAATATAGCTCTATTTGGTAAAAGACCAAGTCCATATTATGGCAAGAACAGCTCAAATAAGCAAAGCAAAATGATAGTCTTTGAGATTACTTTAAGACATGAAGGTCAGTCAATATGGAAAATGTCAAGAACTTTGAAAGCTTCTTTAAGTGCAGTCGCAAAAACCATCAAGCGCTATGATGAAACTGGCTCTCATGAGAACCGCCACAGGAATGGAAGACCCAGAGTTACCTCTGCTGCAGAGGATAAGTTCATTGGAGTTACCAGCCTCAGAAATTGTAGCCCAAATAAATGCTTCAGAGTTCAAGTAACAGACACATCTCAACATCAACTGTTCAGAGGAGACTGTGTGAATCAGGCCTTAATGGTTGAATTGCTGCAAAGAAACCACTACTAAAGGACACCAATAATAAGAAGAGACTTGCTTGGGCCAAGAAACACAAGCAATGGACATTAGACCAGTGGAAATGTGTCCTTTGGTCTGGAGTCCAAATTGTAGATTTTTGGTTCCAACCGCCATGTCTTTGTGAGACCTGGTGTGGGTGAACGGATGATCTCCGCATGTGTGGTTCCCACCATAAAGCATGGAGGAGGAGGTGTTATGGTGTGGGGGTGCTTTGCTGGTGACACTGTCTGTGATTTATTTAGAATTCAAGGCACACTTAACCAGCATGGCTACCACAGAATTCTGCAGCGATACGCCATCAAATCTGGTTTGGGCTTAGTGGGACTATCATTTGTTTTTCAACAGGACAATGACCCAACACACCTCCAGGCTGTGTAAGGGCTATTTTACCAAGAAGGAGAGTGATGGAGTGCTGCATCTGATGACCTGGCTTCCACAATCCCCCGACCTCAACCAAAATGAGATGGTTTGGGATGAGTCAGACCGCAGAATGAAGGAAAAGCAGCCAACAAGTGCTCAGCATATGTGGGAACTCCTTCAAGACTGTTGGAAAAGCATTCCAGGTGAAGCTGGTTGAGATAATGCCAAGAGTGTGCAAGCTGTCACCAAGGCAAAGGGTGGCTATTTGAAGAATCTCAAATACTGCATGATTCCATGTGTTATTTCACAGTTTTGATGTCTTCACTATTATTATACAATGTAGAAAATAGTACAAATAAAGAAAAACCCTTGAATGAGTAGGTGTTCTGAAACTTTTGACCGGTAGTGTATATATACTGTGTAATAATATGTGCATTCGGAAAGTATTCAGACCCCTTGACTTTTTCCACATTTTGTCATATTACAGACTTATTCTAAAATGGATTCAATTACACATTTTCCTCATTAATCTACACACAATACCCCATAATGAGAAAGCAAAAACAGTTTTTAGAAATGTTTGCAAACGTATTAAAAATAAAAAACAGAAATACCTTATTTACATAAGTATTCCGAGCCTTAGCTATGAGACTCGAAATGGAGCTCAGGTGCATCCTGTTTCCATTGATCATCCACCTGTGGTAAATTACATTGATTTGACATGATTTGGAAAGGCACACACCTGTCTATATAAGGTCCCGCAGTTGACAGTGCATGTCAGAGCAAAAACCAAACCATGAGGTCGAAGGAATTGTCCGTAGAGCTCCGAGACAGGATTGTGTCGAGGCACAGATCTGGGGAAGGGTACCAAAACATTTCTGCATTATTGAAGGTCCTCAAGAACACAGTGGCCTCCATCATTCTTAAATGGAAGAAGTTTGGAACCACCAAGACTTTTCCTAGAGCTGGCCACCAGGCCAAACTGAGCAATCGGGGGAGAAGGGCCTTGGTCAGGGAGGTGACCAAGAACCTGATTGTCACTCTGGCAGAGCTCCAGAGTTCCTCTGTGGAGATGGGAGAACCTTCCAGAAGGACAACCATCTCTGCAGCACTCCACCAATCAGGCCTTTATGGTAGAGTGGCCAGACGGAAGCCACTCCTCAGTAAAAGCCACATGACAGCCTGCTTGGAGTTTGCCAAAAGGCACCTAAAGACTCACAGACCGTGAGAAACAAGACTCACTGGTCTGATGAAACCAAGATTGAACTCTTTCATCTTAATGCCAAGCGTCATGTCAGGAGGAAATCTTGCACCATCCCTACGGTGAAGCATGGGGGTGGCAGCATCATGCTGTGGGGATGTTTTTCAGGGACAGGGACTGGGAGACTAGTCAGGGTCGAGGGAAAGATGAACAGAGCAAAGTATAGAAAGATCCTTGATGAAAACCTGCTCCAGAGCGCTCAGGACCTCAGACTGGTGCAAAGGTTCACCTTCCAACAGGACCACAGCCCTAAGCACACAGCCAAAACAACGCAGGAGTGGCTTCAGGACAAGTCTCTGAATGTCCTTGAGTGGCCCAGCCAGAGCCCGGACTTGAACCAGATCAAACATCTCTGGAGAGACCTGAAAATAGCTGTGCAGCGACGCTCCTCATCCAACCTGACAGAGCTTGAGAGAATCTGCAGAGAAGAATGGGAGAAACTCCCCAAATACAGGTGTGCCAAGCTTGTGTTGTCACATCAGTCCGTCCAGTATGTATGTGCAGGAAGTCCAGAACCAAAGAGAGAGTAAGGGCTTCTTCTTCTTCCATGAGGTTTAACGGCGGTTGGCATCCAATTTGTTGCAATACCGCCACCTACTAGACTGGAGTACAACTCCCTTATCTTTCCTTGAAAAATAAAATAAAACAAAGCAAAGATATATCCTACCATCTAACACTATTTACATTTACATTTACGTCATTTAACACTACACTCAAACACTCAAACCTACTACTAATAATTAACACCACCCTACTCCACTATTTAAATATATTCATTCCTACCTCATGCCCTCAACCTGAAATGATGGGACATCACCACTTAACACTCCCTGCAACTCTTCTGCTGTCAGGTCTCGCACACCCAAATATCTCTATCCACCACAACCTACATTTTCTTCGTTTTGCGTTCCATCCCTGCAGTACAGTTGATAACCATTGCTATAAACGCTAAAAATCCAATCTTACTGAAACATATATCACTTGTTGGCCTATCCCTCTGTACTGGTACAGATCTACTACTCTCACCACTCCCCCCCTTGACCCATCTTCCTCTACTTTCTTCCCTGCCTCAGCATATGACAACTTCTTCACTACTCTTACCCTGGAAACCTCAATCTGCTTGGACATGTCTGATCCCCAGCCCCATGGCCACCCCTACAATTAGCACATACCACTACTTTCCCCACTGCTTCACACTCCTTAGTCTCATGACCTTCTGCACACTTCTCACATCTTGGAATCTCCCTCCTACATACTGCTGCCACATGCCCATAAGTTTGACACCTGTAACACCTGTAACATCGTAACGTACTCGGCTCATATGCTCTGTCACAGGATAACTTATATATCCTAACGGCAAAGATTCAACTTCAAAACTCAAAAGAACAGACAATGACTCTTCTGTTTCCCCACTCACGCCACCCTGTTTACGTCGCACCAAACAACGAGCATCACAAATACCGGGAGTATTCTCCTTCAGTTGGTCCACTTTTACATTTACTGCTACCCCAGTAATCACTCCTTTCAATGGCGCCCTTTTCTTAAGAGCGAAACAATTCACAATTCTTTCCCCCATTTGTTTAACTCTGAGCGCCTTCTCCCTCTGCCCAACAGAAACACAAACAATCATCGTAACTTACTCGGCACATATGCTCGCACAGGATAACTTATATATCCTAACGGCAAAGATTCAAGATCCTCGACCTCACAGTCCACAATGACCTCTTCATTGCCCCCTCCGGCGTCTATTCTATCCTCGACCTCACAGTCCACAATGACCTCTTCATTGCTCCCTCCGGCGTCTATTCTATCCTCTGGACTTGTGTCGACATCTTGGCCTTCGTCTTCTAGTGGAAAATATTTGGTCCGCCACATAGTCCCCAATCGCCCGACCGAAATCCTGGCCGACCTCCCTCAAACTAGCCCATCCGTCATCGGCCGAGCGGAAGTTGCAACTGAATGACAATGATGATTTTCTTAGCACGCATGTGGCAGCCATTTTTGGTGCACTGAAAAACCTTCCGGCCTTTCTGATTCTTTTCGAGAGTAAGGGCTAGCCACGCCGTTCCATTGTACAACTCCAAATAGGAAATTGCCTCAGAGAAGCTTTGATACTATAGCTACTGCTATCTTGTGGTATGGAGTGAGATTACATATTCTAATGCTATTTAAACTAAACACTCTCAACTGCCATTTCCTAACACTACATACGGTTTATAGGGCCCTGTGATTGGTTAATTATGTCACATGACCTGCATTTGAACCTTAATTTAAAGCTTTTTCAACAAACTGTCCCCTTGTCTTTTCATGTCAGATAATGCAGCTCCATCCTTCATTTTTGGTGGAATTCTCATTTCTGGAAAAGGCTTAAAATAAAGGTTAACATCCAGGTCATGTGACATGCTATTTTATTCCATTGAATTATTATTGTTTTCTCCATGAAGTAATCAATGGGTACCTCATCATCTAGTCTATTTCAAATCTTCTCTCATTGATTGACAGGTGGGTGCCGTCATCACATGCAGCACGTTGGGGTGTCCAGGTATCTACTATTACCTGTTCTACCAGTAACTACCTGTGTTCTCTCCCCTCCAGGTATCTACTATTACCTGTTCTACCAGTAACTACCTGTGTTCTCTCCCCTCCAGGTATCTACTATTACCTGTTCTACCAGTAACTACCTGTGTTCTCTCCCCTCCAGGTATCTACTATTACCTGTTCTACCAGTAACTACCTGTGTTCTCTCCCCTCCAGGTATCTACTATTACCTGTTCTACCAGTAACTACCTGTGTTCTCTCCCCTCCAGGTATCTACTATTACCTGTTCTACCAGTAACTACCTGTGTTCTCTCCCCTCCAGGTATCTACTATTACCTGTTCTACCAGTAACTACCTGTGTTCTCTCCCCTCCAGGTATCTACTATTACCTGTTCTACCAGTAACTACCTGTGTTCTCTCACCTCCAGGTATCTACTATTACTGTTCTACCAGTAACTAGCTGTGTTCTCTCCCCTCCAGGTATCTACTATTACCTGTTCTACCAGTAACTACCTGTGTTCTCTCCCCTCCAGGTATCTACTATTACCTGTTCTACCAGTAACTACCTGTGTTCTCTCCCCTCCAGGTATCTACTATTACCTGTTCTACCAGTAACTACCTGTGTTCTCTCCCCTCCAGGTATCTACTATTACCTGTTCTACCAGTAACTACCTGTGTTCTCTCCCCTCCAGGTATCTACTATTACCTGTTCTACCAGTAACTACCTGTGTTCTCTCCCCTCCAGGTATCTACTATTACCTGTTCTACCAGTAACTACCTGTGTTCTCTCACCTCCAGGTATCTACTATTACCTGTTCTACCAGTAACTAGCTGTGTTCTCTCCCCTCCAGGTATCTACTATTACCTGTTCTACCAGTAACTACCTGTGTTCTCTCCCCTCCAGGTATCTCCTATTACCTGTTCTACCAGTAACTACCTGTGTTCTCTCCCCTCCAGGTATCTCCTATTACCAGAACATCACCTCTCCTTTAACCTCTCCTAACCTGTACATATTACTACATGTAGGACAGTGGCAGTCGATGCTGTTTAAGATGAGGGAGGACAATTATTTTTTGAATGAGCATGGCCTTATTTCTATTACAGCATATTGGATGACTGTCATTCATATTCACCCAGCTCAATGTAACATCGATAGGTTTAGGCTACTACATGATACTTAAATGTTCCCTATACCTATCACGAGGTTGCTACAACATATGAATTAAAGTTTACAACGTAGGTGCACAGGTTGAGAGAAATTTGAGTTATCAAGGTGACAGAAAGTGACACATTCAATACCGCCTTGGATGCATCTAGTTGATCTAGTTTGTAATCATTAGTCCAACAGTTGCAAACGAGAGTTTCTATTGGACAAATTCAGGTATGTTCATCCTCGTTTCGTTCCGTTTGCTTCCGTTTCAGAAAATGTTTCAACAGAATCGTCTGAATGAATACACCCCTGATCGCTTGTAGACTTCAGTGCACAACACATCAGCTGTCTGTGACCAGGTGAAAAAACCTTTCCAAGTCAAACCATGTCATAACCGCTACACACAGCCTACATTGTTGTCAACATTATTAGCTAACTTAATAGTCAACATAGCTACTAGAACTAAAGCTTTAGTAACAGTTTACAATCAGCAAGCGGTTTAGCAGTTACACTGGCGGGCCCAGGTGGCAATAAATTAATAAAACCAAAAGCTCACCAGCTGGCTAACAGAGCATCCCTCTCTGTTTGAGCCGGGTGTTTGAGTAGGCTAAACTAGCTATCTGCAATCGCTAGCTAAGTGAAAGTGAATAAAAAGACATAGAAATCTCTCTCTCTCTCTCTCTCTCTCTCTCTTTCTCTCGCTTCTCTTTCATTTCTGAAGAAATGTATTCGTTCAAACCTGAAGGTTTGAATCCTAAGCAACCTGCCTACACATAGTTTGAAGTACAATACCAAATTAGCTACTGTAGTAGGTCAAAGCTGTGTGCTGGAAAACCTTGGTAGAGCATGGGTGGAATAGGCATTGTGGTGCTCATGTGAATTTCCTTTATTTTTTGGCTTCAGACCAATGCCTATTCTCACTTAAAACATAGTTATTTGTTTTTAATTTTTAATGGTTTTTACACCGGAAAGGATTTTCTGTTAAGGAGGAACTGCACCCACTGATTTGTCCTCATTTTTTGGCTTGCTCCTCAAGAAATGCTGGTGGCCATGACAGAAGCAAAACGTGAGTTGGCTTAGGGGTGAGGTTTGATGTGGTTGTTTCTTGGGTGTGTCCTTGCAACTACCAAGACACACCCATCTGTCTGAACCTTGCCACCAGCTGTTTCCCCCCACTCAATCACACCAAACAAACCTTCTGCATGTTGAGTTCAATAACTACATGCAGATCTATGGTGAGATGCCGGAGGCAGCTTTGAAAAGAATAGTAGCCTACAGAGTAATATAAGAAGAATGGAATTGCTGAATACCATAGAAGCAGAGTTCTGCTAATACAACAATGTGCACATTTAATTGTCATTCCCATCCGATAAAGATACAGTGCCTTTGACAAGTTACCAAGGTAGCCCCATTACCACCAGACAAAATCCCCAGAGTGGTCATACCTTCCTATGTGTATAAGAGGTCATACAATAAGTTTTGTAGTGATTCCTATGTTGTTGATGTAAATAATATTTGTTGGTCTGTGGTGTGTAATGAGGAGCAAACAGACATTGCACTTGACACATTTATGAAATTGCTTATCCCATTTGCGAATAAGCATGCATCCATTAAGAAAATGACTGTAAAAATGGTTAAATCCCAGTGAAAAATGGTATGGTTGAGAGAGATGAGGCAAAAGGAATGGCGAATAAGTCTGGCTGCGCAACCGATTGGCAAACGTACTGCAAATTGAGAAATCATGTGACTAAACTGAATAAAAAGAAGAAGAAACTGTACTATGAAACATAAGATAAATGACATAAAGAATGATAGTAAAAAGCTTTGGAGCACCTTCAATTACATTTAGGGAAAAAAGGCAAACTCAGCTCCATCATTCATTGAATCAGATGTCTCATTCATTACAAAACCGACTGATATTGCCAACTACTTTAATGATTTTTTAATTGGCAAGATTAGCAAATTTAGGCATGACATGCCAGCAACAAACGCTGACACTACACATCCAAGTATATCTGACCAAATTATGAAAGACAAGAATTGTAATTTTGAATTCTGTAAAGTGAGTGTGGAAGAGGTGAAAAAATAATGGTTGTCTACCAACAATGACAAGTCACCGGGGGTCTGACAACTTGGATGGAAAATTACTGAGGATAATAGCGGACGATATTGCCACTCCTATTTGCCATCTCTTCAATTTAAGCCCACTAGAAAGTGTGTGTCCTCAGGCCTGGAGGGAAGCAAAAGTCATTCCGCTACCTAAGAATAGTAAAGCCCCCTTTACTGGCTCAAATAGCCGGAAAATCAGCCTGTTACCAACCCTTAGTAACATTTTGGAAATAACTGTGTTTCACCAGATACAATGCTATTTTACAGTAAACAAATTGACAACAGACTTTCAGCACGCTTATAGGGAAGGACATTCAACAAGCACAGCACTTACACAAATGACTGATGATTGGCTGAGAGAAATTGATGATAAAAAGATTGTGGGAGCTGTTTTGTTAGACTTCAGTGCGGCTTTTTACATTATCGATCATAGTATGTTGCTGGAAAAACATATGTGTTATGGCTTTACACCCCCTGCTATATTGCGGATAAAGAGTTACCTGTCTAACAGAACACAGAGGGTGTTCTTTAATGGAAGCCTCTCCAACAAAATCCAGGTAGAATCAGGAATTCCCCAGGGCAGCTGTCTAGGCCCCTTACTTTTTTTCAATCTTTACTAACGACATGCCAGTGGCTTTGAGTAAAGCCAGTGTGTCTATGTATGCGGGTGACTCAACATTATACACGTCAACTACTACAGCAACTGAAATGACTGCAACACTTAACAAAGAGCTGCAGTTATTTTCAGAATGGGTGGCAAGGAATAACTTAGTCCTATATATTTAAAAAACTAAAAGCATTGTATTTGGGAGAAATCATTCACTAAACCCTAAACCTCAACTAAATCTTGTAATAAATAATGTGGAAATTGAGCAAGTTGATGTGACTAAACTGCTTGGAGTAACCCTGGATTGTAAACTGTCATGGTCAAAACATATTGATACAACAGTAGCTAAGATGGGGAGAAGTCTGTCTATAATAAAGTGCTACTCTACCTTCTTAACAACACTATCAACAAGGCAGGTCCTACAGGCCCTAGTTTTGTCAAACCTGGACTACTGTTCAGTCGTGTGGTCAGGTGCCATAAAGAGGGACTTAGGAAAATTGCAATTGGCTCAGAACAGGGCAGCAGAGCTGGCCCTTAAATGTACACGGAGAGCTAACATTCATAATATGCATGTCAATCTCACCTGGCTCAAAGTAGAGGAGAGATTGACTTTATCACTACTTGTATTTGTGAGCGGTATTGACATGTTGAAAGCACAGAGCTGTCTGTTTAAACGACTAGCACACAGCTCAGACACCCATGCATACCCCACAAGACACGCCACCAGAGGTCTCTTCACTGTCCCCAAGTCCAGAACAGACTATGGGAGGCGCACAGTACTACATAGAGCCATGACTACATGGAACTCTATTCCACATCAGGTAACTGATGCAAGCAGTAGAATCAGATTTTTAAAACAGATACAAATACACCTTATGGAACAGCGGGGACTGTGAAGCAACACAAACATAGGCACAGATACATGATAACATACGCACTATACACACACGTACACATGGATTATGTGTTGTAGATATGTGGTAGTGGAGTTTGGGCCTGAGGGCACACAGTGTGTTGTGAATTCTGGAATGAATGTATTGTAATGTTTAGAAAATTGTGTCTTGGCAGCAGCTAATGGGGATCCGTAATAAATACAACTATAAATACAGATGTGTTGTCCCATATAGAACTGGAGTTTCCTGATCCTGGTGCAGAATACACAGGGTTTCTCCCTCCCCGTATTGACTGATACCATTCAATTCAATAATAAAAAAAGGACATACAAGTAAAAGTTTTGTCTACTACAATGTTAATGCCAGGACTCTCTCCAGTCAGAGACATCAGTATCAAGCCTGTCTGTCAGTCTGGACTTCATCACATCATCTGGCAAGTCTCCATGTGCTGACTCCATACATGTTTCTGTGAACACAAACACACACATAGTCACTGTTCTATTACCAATGGCAGTTAGTATAGGTGATATCTGACACACAAATATATACAATGTTGAAGTTTGAACAGGTCAGACTAAACCTACCTAATTCTGTTCTCCCCATCGTGGACCGTTGGAGAGCAGGCAAGAGGTGAGGCTGGAGGTGAGGTGTTTGCCAGAGCCCCGTTGATGGGCATAGCAGTGTAGATCAGTTCCTGGCCCATCAAAGATACTGGTCGGTCACAAACACACTGATGAGGGCCCCCTTGCTGGTCTTCTCTGTGCTGCATGTTCAGCTGCACACTCTCGAACTGCAGCAGGCAGTCTTCTGAGGTGGTGTTGTCTGGGAGGGCCTGTGACAGGGTGGTGTTGTCTGGGAGGGCCTGTGACAGGGTGATGTTGTCTGGGAGGGCCTGTGACAGGGTGATGTTGTCTGGGAGGGCCTGTGACAGGGTGGTGTTGTCTGGGAGGGCCTGTGACAGGGTGGTGTTGTCTGGGAGGGCCTGTGACAGGGTGGTGTTGTCTGGGAGGGCCTGTGACAGGGTGGTGTTGTCTGGGAGGGCCTGTGACAGGGTGATGTTGTCTGGGAGGGCCTGTGACAGGGTGGTGTTGTCTGGGAGGGCCTGTGACAGGGTGATGTTGTCTGGGAGGGCCTGTGACAGGGTGATGTTGTCTGGGAGGGCCTGTGACAGGGTGATGTTGTCTGGGAGGGCCTGTGACAGGGTGGTGTTGTCTGGGAGGGCCTGTGACAGGGTGGTGTTGTCTGGGAGGGCCTGTGACAGGGTGGTGTTGTCTGGGAGGGCCTGTGACAGGGTGATGTTGTCTGGGAGGGCCTGTGACAGGGTGGTGTTGTCTGTGAGGGCCTGTGACTGGGTGATGTAATAGACAGTGGTAAATTGCATTTTGTTCTAAAGAAAGGACAAAGCTTTTTGAAAATGCACTTCACAACCAAAATGACTCTACTACTTGTATCTGCTTGGCTGTGGAATTATCCGACTAGTTTATCAAGCCGTGTGTTTTTGAATACAAATTTTAAGCAGATACATAAACAGCAGTCTATGGTCTAGCTACCGGTAAAGAACATGAAGGCCCACTGTTTATACTCCCAACTCACCACTACGTTTCGACCCAAAACCACCACCGGGGACCAACGAACTCCAACCATGTATTCTGCATGACACGGTCCTTCGGCAGGGCATGCAAACCATAGTTGGTCAGTACGCTTTTTAGTGTCCAATGACTGGGATCCTTTGAATGCATTGGGGGCGATGAGACAACGAAGCCCCATTCAATGAAGGGAGTGGAGGGGCACAATAAGAGCTAAGACAATAAGACAATAATATTTGTGATTCCAATATTTTAATATTTTAATATTTTAATATTTTAATATTTTAATATTTTACGGCGAACTACAAATTATTGTGGCTAGCTTCACACAAGGGAACAAGGAAGAGTTGAAAAATAGCCAACATATGGTACTATCATCTGATTGGATGGTACTATCATCTGATTGGATGGTACTATCATCTGATTGGATGGTACTATCATCTGATTGGATGGTACTATCATCTGATTGGATGGTACTATCATCTGATTGGATGGTACTATCATCTGATTGGATGGTACTATCATCTGATTGGATGGTACTATCATCTGATTGGATGGTACTATCATCTGATTGGACATATGGTACTATCATCTGATTGGATGGTACTATCATCTGATTGGACATATGGTACTATCATCTGATTGGATGGTACTATCATCTGATTGGACATATGGTACTATCATCTGATTGGACATATGGTACTATCATCTGATTGGACATATGGTACTATCATCTGATTGGATGGTACTATCATCTGATTGGACATATGGTACTATCATCTGATTGGACATATGGTACTATCATCTGATTGGACATATGGTACTATCATCTGATTGGACATATGGTACTATCATCTGATTGGACATATGGTACTATCATCTGATTGGACATATGGTACTATCATCTGATTGGACATATGGTACTATCATCTGATTGGACATATGGTACTATCATCTGATTGGAACATATGGTACTATCATCTGATTGGACATATGGTACTATCATCTGATTGGACATATGGTACTATCAAGCATTCATCTGATTGGACATATGGTACTATCAAGCATTCATCTGATTGGACATATGGTACTATCATCTGATTGGATGGTACTATCAAGCATTCATCTGATTGGATGGTACTATCAAGCATTCATCTGATTGGATGGTACTATCAAGCATTCATCTGATTGGACATATGGTACTATCATCTGATTGGACATATGGTACTATCAAGCATTCATCTGATTGGACATATGGTACTATCAAGCATTCATCTGATTGGACATATGGTACTATCAAGCATTCATCTGATTGGACATATGGTACTATCAAGCATTCATCTGATTGGACATATGGTACTATCAAGCATTCATCTGATTGGACATATGGTACTATCAAGCATTCATCTGATTGGACATATGGTACTATCCAAGCATTCATCTGATTGGACATATGGTACTATCAAGCATTCATCTGATTGGACATATGGTACTATCAAGCATTCATCTGATTGGACATATGGTTGTCACGGTTCAGACAGACGACCAGAGGACCACAATTGCGTCACACCAGAAAGTTTATTAAACTTAAGGGAAAAGGGAAGTAGGGAGTGAATGAAGGCTCCAGGGGTAACAGGGATCCCGTCCAATGTGCTGGGTCTGTGCCCCCCCCAGTGGCAGCGATGCGTCCTATGAAGCCGGTGGTGGGTGGTCCAGAAGTCCTGGGGGGGGGGGAGACACAGACACAACAGGGCGGAATGAAACAAGGCAGCAGTACAGTTCAAGGGAAATCCAAAATACGTAGTAGCAAGGCAGAAGGCTGGTTCAGAGTTACCGGGATAGAAGAGTAGTCAGGAGTCGTAATGGCAGAAGCAGGTCTGGATCTCCTGGGGCAGACGAGTATCCAAAAATCAGGCAGGTCCGGGGTCACAAAACCAGGGTGAGCCAGAAGCGCGAGCAAACAGGTTCCGGGTGTGAGCTTTGCAGACGATCTGACACCGGAGAGCTGAAAGACAGGGCCTTAAATACTGGGAGAGGTAGTGGGTAATGCAGCGCAGCTGGCAGAGTAATTAGAGCAGAGCAGAGCAGGGACAGGTGGAGCTAGTTAGGCTGAGTAGAGAGAGTGGTGAGCAGAGTGGAAGAAATAAAGGTGGTAACCCGGTGGAGTGAGAGGCTCATGACAGAACCCCCCCCCCCAAGGGACGGCCCCAGAAGTCCCAAGAGCAACACCACGCCGGGCGGGAGGAGGGGAGCCGGAGGAGGGCTAGAACTCCTCCGAACGGTCCGAGTGAACGTCCTCATCCTCGGAGGAAGCCGGAGGGCCGTGGTCGGGAGATGGGACAGGTCCCGAGACAGGATCAGGCACAGGACAGGAAGCCGAGCGGGCAGGACGGTTAGGGACCCCTCTGGGGCGGCCCCTACGGATTGCAGGTTGATCAGGATGCCGTTGGTGGAAAGCGGTGATGAGAGTCCTATCCACAATCCGACTAGCTGGCACCCAGGTCCTTTCCTCAGGTCCATAGCCCTCCCAGTCAATGAGGTACTGGAGACCCCTACCCCTCCGTCTGGACCGAAGCAGGCGGCGGACGGTGTAAACCAGACCACCATCGACGAGCCGTGGAGGAGGAGGACAAGGCGCAGCAGGGACCAGCGGACTCTCATGGATGGGCTTAATCTTAGACACATGGAAAGTGGGGTGCACCCTCAGGGAATTAGGCAGTTGGAGCCGGACAGCAGTTGGGCTAATCACTCTTATGATAGGGAATGGGCCAATGAACCGAGGTGCCAGCTTCCTGCGACTCCACCCTGAGTGGCAGGTTCTTCGATGACAACCACACCCTTTGACCAACATGGTAGGTGGGAGCAGGAATTCTCCGACGGTTGGCCCCGGTAGTGTAGCTGGCAACGGATCTGAGGAGTGTGGCTCGGGCTTGTGACCAGGTGCGGCGATATCGACGGGCAAAAGCAAGTGCAGATGGGCAAGTAACCTCCTCTTCCTGGCTGGCAAATAGAGGAGGCTGGTATCCATAAACACATTGGAAAGGGGACATACCGATGGCAGAGCAGGTCAGAGAATTGTGTGCGTACTCCACCCATGTCAATTGCTGCGACCAGGAGTGGGGGTTGCGTGAAGTCATGCATCGCAGTGCCTTCTCGAGCTCCTGGTTAGCCCGCTCTGACTGCCCATTGGATTGGGGATGGAATCCGGAAGTCAGACTGACTGTGGCTCCCAGCAGGTGACAGAACTCCTTCCAAAAAGCGGAGGAGAATTGTGGACCACGGTCAGAAACTACATCCTTTGGCAGTCCGTGGATCCGGAAGACGTGTTCCAGGACCACCTGGGCGGTCCTCCTTGGCGGTTTGGGAGCTTGGGGAGGGGAATGAAGTGTGCCATCTTGCTGAAACGGTCAACTATGGTGAGAATGACGGTCATGCCACTTGAAGGGGGCAGCCCCGTGACAAAGTCAAGGGCGATGTGAGACCAGGGACGTCTGGGCACAGGCAGGGGCTGCAGCAATCCGGCTGGGGGCTGGCAGGACGACTTGTGTTGGTTGCAGATGGGGCAGGCTTGGGACGAATTCCCGTACATCCTTCCTCAGAGAGGGCCACCAGAACCTCTGGGCGAGCAGGTTGTAAGTGCGGGTGGAGCCAGGGTGACAAGCTAGGCGGGAGTCATGTCCCCACTGAACGACCTGGGACCTCAGGTCTTCGGGGACAAAAAGGCGGTCAGCTGGGCAAGTGCTGGGACCCTGGCTGGTTACGGAGAGCCTCCAGCACCTGTTCCTCAACAGCCCAGGTCAGAGCTGCAACGATGCAGGGACTTGGCAGAATCGACACAGGGTCCTTGGAGGGGGTGTCATCCTTCTGGAATTGACGGGAGAGGGCGTCTGGCTTGGTGTTGCGTGATCCAGGCCGGTATGACAGAGTGAAATTAAACCTGGTGAAGAACAGGGCCCAGCGGGACTGCCTGGAGTTCAACCGTTTGGCCGTGCGGATGTACTCCAAGTTCTTATGATCGGTCCAAACGAGAAATGGAATGGTGGACCCCTCCAGCCAGTGACGCCACTCCTCCAAGGCAAGCTTCACAGCCAGCAGCTCACGGTTCCCTATGTCGTAATTGCACTCAGAGGGGGACAACCGACGTGAGAAAAAGGCACAGGGATGGAGCTTCCTATCCTCCGCAGCCCACTGAGAAATCACAGCACCAACTCCCACATCCGAGGCGTCCACCTCCACAATGAATTGCCGGTCCACATCAGGCATCTGGAGGATGGGAGCGGAGGTGAACCTCACCTTGAGGGTACTGAAGGCTTTGTCGGCTGCTGGGGTCCAGGTGAAGGGTTGCTTGGTGCTGGTTAGAGCAGTGAGAGGGGCAGCAACGGTACTGTAGTTCCGGATAAACTTTCTATAGAAGTTAGCAAACCCCAGAAACTGTTGCAGCTTCTTTCTGTTCTCCGGAACTGGCCATGAAGTGACTGCTGATACTTTGGCAGGATCCATTTGGATACTTCCCTCTGCCACTATGTACCCCAGGAAGGCCACTGTCTTGACGTGAAACTCACATTTCTCTGCCTTGGCGTAGAGGGAATTCTCCAGAAGACGATGAAGGACTTGCTGGACATGGCGGGTGTGTTCAGACAGGTTTCTGGAGTAGATTAAGATGTCATCCAGGTAAACGAAGACAAACTTGTTTAACATGTCCCGCAGTACATCATTCACTAGAGCCTGGAACACAGCAGGAGCATTGGTGAGGCCAAAAGGCATAACCAGATACTCGTAGTGGCCTGTTGGTGTATTGAATGCGGTTTTCCATTCATCTCCCTCCCGGATCCGCACTAGGTGGTAAGCGTTTCTGAGATCCAACTTGGTAAAAACAGTGGCTCCCTGGAGCAACTCAAAAGCAGAGGTGAGCAGAGGCAGAGGGTAACGGTTTTTCACTGTGATGTCGTTGAGTCCCCTGTAGTCGATGCAGGGGCGAAGAGATCCGTCCTTCTTCCCCACAAAGAAGAAGCCAGCACCAGCAGGAGATGAAGATGAACGGATTAATCCTGCGGACAGAGAGCCATTGATGTAGTCCTCCATGGACTTTCTTTCAGGAGCAGACAACGAATAAAGACGACCCTTTGGAGGGGCTGTTCCAGGGAGGAGGTCGATGGCACAGTCGTACGGTCGGTGAGGGGGCAGAGATGTGGCTCTTGCTTTGTTAAACACCTCTCTGAGACCATGGTAGCATTCTGGGACATTGGAGAGGTCAGGAGCGGAGTTAGTAGGTACTGGCCGAGGGGGTAGTGCGGCAGCAAGCAGGCAGGTTCGGTGGCAGTCCTCTCCCCACTCCCTGATCACCCCGGTCACCCAGTCGAGCTGAGGGTTTGTGCCGGCGGAGCCATGGGTAACCCAGGATGAGGGGTTGGCCTGGAGAGGGGAGCAGGTGAAACTGGATAGTTTCTTGATGGTTTCCGGACAGACCCATCGAGACCGGGGCCGTGACATGAGTGACCGATCCGAGTAAGTGTCCGTCCAGTGCCCGGGCAGGAATAGGAGGTGTCAAACGGAGGTTCTCCAGTCCCAGTTGGCGTGCCAGCTTGATGTCCATTATGTTGGCTTCGGCGCCAGAATCCACCAGAGCAGCCAGGGTGTGAGTTGAGTCAGAGAGGTGGAGGTGAACTTGCAGCAGGGGTTTGCGGTCGGAGGACTGGATGGTCATAGAACTCAACCGGACTCCCCCTATGCCCGGTGAGCTTCGGCCCTTTAAAGGGCAGGTTACCACACGATGTCCATCACCTCCACAATAGAGGCAGAGGTTTGAGGTGAAGCGTCGCTGGCGCTCTGCAGGAGTGAGAGAGGCTCGCCCAATCTCCATAGGCTCAGACTGATCAAGCTGACCTGGGTGAGTGGCAGTAGATGACAGGAGCCCAGTCGGATCTCTCCGAATGCCGGTAGTAGGTGGACCTTGGCGCCCCCTCTCACGACGACGGGTCTGTATACTTCTGTCGATCCTGACAGTCAGTGCGATGGCTTCATCAAGAGTGGAAGGCAGTTCATGGGAGACCAACTCGTCCTTGATATAGTCAGCCAAACTATGGAAGAACGCGTCCACCAACGATGGTGTGTTCCAAGAACTTCGTCTAGCCAGGGTTCGGAAGTTGATGGAATGGTCTGCGACTGTACGTCTGCCTTGTCGAATACTGAACAGTTCACGAGACGCCTCTGCGGTTGGTGAATCCAGGTCAAACACCTTCAGCATCTCCTCAGCAAACAGGTCGAAGGTTGCACATGCGGGGGTTTGACGTTCGAACTCTGCTGTTCCCCAGAGTCGAGCTCGGCCCGTCAGGTGAGTGATGGCATACCCAACTTTAGCCCCCTCCGTGGCGAAGGTCCTTGGCTGCAAGGAGAACTGAAGTCGGCAGCTAGTCAGGAATGGCCGGACCTGGGTTAAATCGCCGTTGAACCGCTCGGGGTTTCCAATCTTGGGTTCCGGAGCAGCGGCTGCAATGACCGGGGCAGGTAACTCGGGGGCAGGGCTGGTGGGCAGACTGGCTGGGGTCAGGTTGGTGAGGAGTTGAATGATCATGGCGAGTTGTTGTTGCTGCTGCTGGAACTGCTGCTCATGCTCATCGGTTTCCATGTCGGGGAAAGTGTGCGCTGAGTCCATAATGGTCAGATCGTACTGTCACGGTTCAGACAGACGACCAGAGGACCACAATTGCGTCACACCAGAAAGTTTATTAAACTTAAGGGAAAAGGGAAGTAGGGAGTGAATGAAGGCTCCAGGGGTAACAGGGATCCCGTCCAATGTGCTGGGTCTGTGCCCCCCCCAGTGGCAGCGATGCGTCCTATGAAGCCGGTGGTGGGTGGTCCAGAAGTCCTGGGGGGGGGGAGACACAGACACAACAGGGCGGAATGAAACAAGGCAGCAGTACAGTTCAAGGGAAATCCAAAATACGTAGTAGCAAGGCAGAAGGCTGGTCAGAGTTACCGGGATAGAAGAGTAGTCAGGAGTCGTAATGGCAGAAGCAGGTCTGGATCTCCTGGGGCAGACGAGTATCCAAAAATCAGGCAGGTCCGGGGTCACAAAACCAGGGTGAGCCAGAAGCGCGAGCAAACAGGTTCCGGGTGTGAGCTTTGCAGACGATCTGACACCGGAGAGCTGAAAGACAGGGCCTTAAATACTGGGAGAGGTAGTGGGTAATGCAGCGCAGCTGGCAGAGTAATTAGAGCAGAGCAGAGCAGGGACAGGTGGAGCTAGTTAGGCTGAGTAGAGAGAGTGGTGAGCAGAGTGGAAGAAAATAAAGGTGGTAACCCGGTGGAGTGAGAGGCTCATGACAATGGTACTATCAAGCATTCATCTGATTGGACATATGGTACTATCAAGCATTCATCTGATTGGACATATGGTACTATCAAGCATTCATCTGATTGTAGGTCTGAGCCTTGAGAAAGCTTCCACTGTCTTTCTCTTTCCCCCCTATAGTATATCTCCCCTATATAGACTGTCCCTTGAGAAAGCTTCCACTGTCTTCCTCTTTCCCCCCTATAGTATATCTCCCCTATATAGACTGTCCCTTGAGAAAGCTTCCACTGTCTTTCTCTTTCCCCCCTATAGTATATCTCCCCTATATAGACTGTCCCTTGAGAAAGCTTCCACTGTCTTTCTCTTTCCCCCCTATAGTATATCTCCCCTATATAGACTGTCCCTTGAGAAAGCTTCCACTGTCTTTCTCTTTCCCCCCTATAGTATATCTCCCCTATATAGACTGTCCCTTGAGAAAGCTTCCACTGTCTTTCTCTTTCCCCCCTATAGTATATCTCCCCTATATAGACTGTCCCTTGAGAAAGCTTCCACTGTCTTTCTCTTTCCCCCCTATAGTATATCTCCCCTATATAGACTGTCCCTTGAGAAAGCTTCCACTGTCTTTCTCTTTCCCCCCTATAGTATATCTCCCCTATATAGACTGTCCCTTGAGAAAGCTTCCACTGTCTTTCTCTTTCCCCCCTATAATATATCTCCCCTATATAGACTGTCCCTTGAGAAAGCTTCCACTGTCTTTCTCTCTCCCCCCTATAGTATATCTCCCCTATATAGACTGTCGTCGCATCTGTAATAACTACCTGTATGTTCTGTCTCCTCCAGGTATCTATCTGAACCTCACCTGTTTTAACCTCTCCTAACTTGTACATATTATTAGCTGTAGGATATACACTATACAAGGGGTTAAATACACTACAGTATATATATATATAAATGTATGTGGACAGTGATACCCCTTAAAATTAGTGGATTCTATTTCAGCCACACCCGTTGCTGACAGGTGTATAAAATAGAGCACACAGCTATGCAATTTCCATAGACAAACATTGGCAGTAGAATGGCCTTACTGAAGAGCTCAGTGACTTTCAACGTGGCACTGTCATAGGATGCCACCTTTCCAAGAAGTCAGTTCGTCAAATTTCTGCCCTGCTAGAGCTGCCCCGGTCAACTGTCAGTGCTGTTATTGTGACGTGGAAACATCTAGGAGCAACAACAGCTGAGCCGCGAAGTGGTAGGCCACACAAAATCACAGAACGGGGCCGCAGAGTGCTGAAGTACGTAGCGCGTAAATATCATCTGTCCTTGCTTGCAACACTCACTGCCGAGTTCCAAACTGCCTGGAAGCAACGTCAGCACAAGAACTGTTCGTCGGGAGCTTAATGAAATGGGTTTCCATGGCCGTGCAGCCGCACACAAGCCTAAGATCACCATACACAATGTCAAGCGTCGGCTGGAGTTGTGTAAAGGTCGCCACCATTGGACTCTAGAGCTGTAGAAACGCGTTCTCTGGAGTGATGAATCACGCTTCACCATCTGGCAGTCCGATGGACAAACCAGGAGAACGCTACCTGCCTGAATGCATAGTGCCAACTGTAAAGTTTGGTGGAGTAGGAATAATGGTCTGGGGCTGTTTTTCATGGTTCGGGCTAGGCCCCTTAGTTCCAGCGAAAATCTTTAACGCTACAGCATACAATAACATTCTAGACAATTCTGTGCTTCCAACTTTGTGGCAACAGTTTGGGGAAGGCCCTTTCCTGTTTCAGCATGACAATGCCCCCGTGCACAAAGCAAGGTCCGTACAGAAATGGTTTGTCGAGATCGGTGTGGAAGAACTTGACTGGCCTGCACAGAGCCCTGACCTCTACCCCATCGAACACCTTTGGTATGAATTGGAACGCCGCCTGCGAGCCAGGCCTAATCGCCCCACATCAGTGCCCGACCTCACTAATGCTCTTGTGGCTGAATGGAAACAAGTCCCCGCAGCAATGTTCCAACATCTAGTGGAAAGCCTTCCCAGAAAAGTGGAGGCTGTTATAGCAGCAAATAGGGTATCAACTCCATATTAATGCCCATGATTTTGGAATGAGATGTTTGACGAGCAGGTGTCCACATACTTTTGGTCATGTAGTGAATATACTGTATAACTCCCTGTATGTTCTGTCTCCTCCAGGTCCTCTCCCTACCTCTCTGTATAACTCCCTGTATGTTCTGTCTCCTCCAGGTCCTCTCTCTACCTCTCTGTATAACTCCCTGTATGTTCTGTCTCCTCCAGGTCCTCTCCCTACCTCTCTGTATAACTCCCTGTATGTTCTGTCTCCTCCAGGTCCTCTCCCTACCTCTCTGTATAACTCCCTGTATGTTCTGTCTCCTCCAGGTCCTCTCCCTACCTCTCTGTATAACTCCCTGTATGTTCTGTCTCCTCCAGGTCCTCTCTCTACCTCTCTGTATAACTCCCTGTATGTTCTGTCTCCTCCAGGTCCTCTCTCTACCTCTCTGTATAACTCCCTGTATGTTCTGTCTCCTCCAGGTCCTCTCCCTACCTCTCTGTATAAACTCCCTGTATGTTCTGTCTCCTCCAGGTCCTCTCCCTACCTCTCTGTATAACTCCCTGTATGTTCTGTCTCCTCCAGGTCCTCTCCCTACCTCTCTGTATAACTCCCTGTATGTTCTGTCTCCTCCAGGTCCTCTCCCTACCTCTCTGTATAACTCCCTGTATGTTCTGTCTCCTCCAGGTCCTCTCCCTACCTCTCTGTATAACTCCCTGTATGTTCTGTCTCCTCCAGGTCCTCTCTCTACCTCTCTGTATAACTCCCTGTATGTTCTGTCTCCTCCAGGTCCTCTCCCTACCTCTCTGTATAACTCCCTGTATGTTCTGTCTCCTCCAGGTCCTCTCCCTACCTCTCTGTATAACTCCCTGTATGTTCTGTCTCCTCCAGGTCCTCTCCCTACCTCTCTGTATAACTCCCTGTATGTTCTGTCTCCTCCAGGTCCTCTCCCTACCTCTCTGTATAACTCCCTGTATGTTCTGTCTCCTCCAGGTCCTCTCTCTACCTCTCTGTATAACACCCTGTATGTTCTGTCTCCTCCAGGTCCTCTCCCTACCTCTCTGTATAACTCCCTGTATGTTCTGTCTCCTCCAGGTCCTCTCCCTACCTCTCTGTATAACTCCCTGTATGTTCTGTCTCCTCCAGGTCCTCTCCCTACCTCTCTGTATAACTCCCTGTATGTTCTGTCTCCTCCAGGTCCTCTCCCTACCTCTCCGTATCTACTACTATCTGAACCATACCTGGCCATTCGGCCGGCCTCTCTGCATGTTGTGTTTCTACTTGAAATACGTCAACATGTACGCCTCTATCTTCTTCCTGGTGTGTGTGAGTGTGCGGCGCTGTGAGCTCACCATCCACCCGCTGAGGTACCATTCCAACAGACGACGAGGGGACGGATGTGTGTGTGCTGCCGGCTGGCTGCTGGTCTGTCTTGGTTGTCTGCCCTTCCCTCTGCTCCGAAACGCCAGCTCTGACCCCACCACACCTAACCCCTACACCCTGACCCCTGACCTCTACACCCACACTGCCCCCTATGACCTTACCCCTAACTCCCATGCCTCCAGTCCTAGCTCCTATTCCCCAGCCTCCACCTCTTCCCCCACACCTGGCCCTACCTCCATCCCGGCGGCGGTGTGTTTTGCGGAGCTCCCCATGCGTGAGGTCACCCCTGCGGCCGGCTGGGCTCTGATGATGGGGGCGGAGCTGGTTGGCTTCATCCTCCCTCTGGTCGTGGTTCTGACCTGCGCCTGTCTGTCGGCCGGCAGCCTGCGAGGCCACAGAGGGGGGGAGGAGGGGGCTGGGGTAGGGGTTAAGGACCAGGGGGAGAAGAGGAGGGCGTTGAGGATGGTGTTGAGCTGTGCCGGGGTGTTCCTGCTCTGCTTCTCCCCATACCATGTCACCATGCCGCTAGACTTCCTGGCGAAGGCCGATGCCCTGGGGAGCTGTGGGGTCAGAGAGATGGTGCTGCGATGCCATCCTGTCACCCTGTGTCTCGCCAGTCTCAACTCAGGACTGGACCCTCTCATGTATTACTTTACTACAGATGAGTTCAGGAGAAGACTCAGCAGGCCAGAGATACCTGAGACCTTCAGTCTGGCTCCAAGACTGTCCTGTACTAGTGGTGGGGGAGCACTGAACCCTGACCTCTAACCCCAAGACTGTCCTGTTCTGGTGTGGACAGCGGAGGGGGAGTGAGAAACAAGGACAAAGGGAACAAGGAGCTCCTCTGCTCTCAAAGCTTGCATCCACTAGAAGACCATGGTATGAAAAATGTATGCACTCACTAACTGTAAGTCGCTCTGGATAAGAGCGTCTGCTAAATGACTAAAATGTAAATGTACTGAGCAGCAACAGGGACTGCCCCTCCCCACCTTCAGTTTATGCTCCAACCCTACACCTCAACCCGAGCACTCCGTTCTGCCACCTCTGGTCTCTTGGCCCTCCCACCCCTACGGGAGGCCAGATCCCGCTCAGCCCAGTCCAAGCTCTTCTCTGTCCCGGAACCCCAATGGTGGAACCAGCTTCCCCCTGATGCTAGGACAGCAGAGTCCCTGCCCATCTTCCGAAATCATCTGAAACCCAACCTCTTCCAAGAGTACCTTAAATAATCCCACTGCACCCCCCTCCCCCTCGCAACCCTCCATTTTTTGTTTTGTTTTTCAAATTGTCTTTCGTGAACTAACACTCCTACTTTAGTTTTTCCCCCTAGTAACACTGACTTTAATGAGAGCTACATTATTGAGAAAATATGTACTTACTATGACTGAGATGTGTGGTTGTCCCACCTAGCTATCTTAAGATGAATGCACTAAGTCACTATGGATAAGAGCGTCTGCTAAATGACTAAAATGTCAATGTAAATCTGCTGGACACTGAAGTTCAGCTGAATCTGTGAACTGAAGACTGTGTATTTCTCCTAATATGGACATCTGCTGGACACTGAAGTTCAGCTGAATCTGTGAATAGATCAATCTGGGGAGAGATGAATCTGTGAATGTTAAGCTTGCTAACTGGTAACAGTCTTGAAGAAGAGCCATGCTTTAACTGTGAATATTTTGGACCATGCTGAAATGTCGGAGGTTTATAAAAACGTATTTTTTCGATCTGTTTCTCTTTAATCTCTTTCAAATACCCACCTCACCTACTGATGCAACAAACAGCACCCGATGAAGTGATAGATCTCTGGAAGGTCTTCAGAACTGAAACCTGTCAGCCAGACAGTGGAAAACCCCAGTCACATCCAGCACCTCTTTGTCTCTGCATTGTGTCTCTGCCTTCTGCTGTCTCGGTCTCTGTGAACCAGCTGACGAGAAGTCTTTCAGATAGCAGCAGGGTGGATTATCAGAGGCTTTCAGATAGCAGCAGGGTGGATTATCAGAGGCTTTCAGATAGCAGCAGGGTGGATTATCAGAGGCTTTCAGATAGCAGCAGGGTGGATTATCAGAGGCTTTCAGATAGCAGCAGGGTGGATTATCAGAGGCTTTCAGATAGCAGCAGGGTGGATTATCAGAGGCTTTCAGATAGCGCAGGGTGGATTATCAGAGGATTTCAGATAGCAGCAGGGTGGATTATCAGATTCAGATACAGCAGGGTGTGTTTCAGATAGCAGCGGGGGATATCAGAGGCTTTCAGATAGCAGCAGGGTGGATTAGGCAGACGGCACTTTTCAGATAGATACAGCAGGGTGGATTATCAAGGACTTCAGTAGCAGCAGGGGGATCATAGAGGCTTTCAGATAGCACAGGGTGGATTATCAGAGGTTTCAGATAGCAGAGGGTGGATTATCAGAGATTTCGTAGAGACAGATGAGGAGTCGTTGTCAAACTGTCTAGTTAGTGTAGGTGTAGAGAAATGGCAAACTTTCACGCTAGCTAGCTGTGGTTTCCTGCTGATGTTCCTGCTACTGTTAAAGGACTACAGCTAAAATAGCTATCTCTCAGTCTAATGTTGGTAAGTAACACACTAACCCTAATGTCAGTATCTAACACACTAACCCTAATATCAGTATCTAACACACTAACCCTAATGTCAGTATCTAACACACTAACCCTAATATCAGTATCTAACACACCAACCCTAACTTCAGCATCCCAGTCTAACCCTAACATTTGAATCTCAGTCTAACCCTAACTTCAGTATCTCTCAGTCTAATCCTAACTTCAGTATCTCAGTCCAACCCTAACTTCAGTATCTCTCAGTCTAACCCTAACTTCAGTATCTCTCAGTCTCACCCTAACTTCAGTATCTCTCAGTCTAACCCTAACTTCAGTATCTCAGTCCAACCCTAACTTCAGCATCTCAGTGTAACCCTAACTTCAGTATCTCTCAGTCTAATCCTAACTTCAGTATCTCAGTCCAACCCTAACTTCAGTATCTCTCAGTCTAACCCTAACTTCAGTATCTCTCAGTCTCACCCTAACTTCAGTATCTCTCAGTCTAACCCTAACTTCAGTATCTCAGTCCAACCCTAACTTCAGCATCTCAGTCTAACCCTAACTTCAGTATCTCTCAGTCTAACCCTAACTTCAGTATCTCAGTCTAACCCTAACTTCAGTATCTCTCTGTCTAACCCTAACTTCAGTATCTCAGTCTCACCCTAACTTCAGTATCTCTCAGTGTAACCCTAACTTCAGTATCTCTCAGTCTAACCCTAACTTCAGTATCTCAGTCTCACCCTAACTTCAGTATCTCTCAGTGTAACCCTAACTTCAGTATCTCTCAGTCTAACCCTAACTTCAGTATCTCTCAGTCTAACCCTAACTTCAGTATCTCAGTCTCACCCTAACTTCAGTATCTCAGTCCAACCCTAACTTCGGTATCTCTCAGTGTAACCCTAACTTCAGTATCTCAGTCTAACCCTAACTTCAGTATCTCAGTCAAACCCTAACTTCGGTATCTCTCAGTCTCACCCTAACTTCAGTATCTCAGTCTAACCCTAACTTCAGTATCTCAGTGTAACCCTAACTTCAGTATCTCAGTCTAACCCTAACTTCAGTATCTCAGTGTAACCCTAACTTCAGTATCTCTCAGTCTAACCCTAACTTCAGTATCCCAGTCTAACCCTAACTTCAGCAGGGTTAGAGAGATACTGTCTCAGCACGGTAGGGTACAGCAGTTAGAGATATTCAAACGTATAGTTATGGGGCTTTTAGCTTTTCTTCAGGGTGTTGTAGGAGGAAGTAGTGTAGGACCTTGAGAGCTTCTGGATAGGGCTGAGTGACTGGACTCTGTGAATGGTCCTGTGAATGAAAGAGAGGGAGAGAGAGAGTGGGGGGGAATCAGTAATCAAATAATATCAGACTTTCTCCATATCATTGATCATCAGCCCCCCTGGAAGGTGGTAGGTATACATTCAGAAAAGTAGCCAATTGTCGTAACAATTCATGTAGTATCCTCACCATTATGCCTTTCAGTCAGCAGGAGAGGACGTTTGGTTATTATACCCACACCAATAAAAAGGCTGATTTTAACTGACTGTATTGGCTGATGTAACTGGATGAAGTTCCTGATGATCTGCTCAGATTCCATACTGTGTTCCCTGAACCCACCCCAATGCTATCTAGCCAGGTATGTAGCGCTAGCCACCCCAATGCTATCTAGCCAGGTATGTAGCGCTAGCCACCCCAATGCTATCTAGCCAGGTATGTAGCGCTAGCCACCCCAATGCTATCTAGCCAGGCATGTAGCGCTAGCCACCCCAATGCTATCTAGCCAGGTATGTAGCGCTAGCCACCCCAATGCTATCTAGCCAGGCATGTAGCGCTAGCCACCCCAATGCTATCTAGCCAGGCATGTAGCGCAACCCACCCCAATGCTATCTAGCCAGGTATGTAGCGCTAGCCACCCCAATGCTATCTAGCCAGGTATGTAGCGCTAGCCACCCCAATGCTATCTAGCCAGGTATGTAGCGCTAGCCACCCCAATGCTATCTAGCCAGGTATGTAGCGCAACCCACCCCAATGCTATCTAGCCAGGTATGTAGCGCTAGCCACCCCAATGCTATCTAGCCATGTATGTAGCGCAAACCCACCCCAATGCTATCTAGCCAGGTATGTAGCGCTTAGCCACCCCAATGCTATCTAGCCAGGTATGTAGCGCTAGCCACCCCAATGCTATCTGCCGGTATGTAGCCGCTAGCCACCCCATGCTATCTAGCGCAGGTATGTAGCGCTAGCCACCCCAATGCTATCTAGCCAGGTATGTAGCGCTAGCCACCCCAATGCTATCTAGCCAGGTATGTAGCGCTAGCCACCCCAATGCTATCTAGCCCAGGTATGTAGCGCAACCCACCCCAATGCTATCTAGCCAGGTATGTAGCGCTAGCCACCCCCATGCTATCTAGCCAGGTATGTAGCGCAACCCCACCCAATGCTATCTAGCCAGGTAATGTAGCGCTAGCCACCCCAATGCTATCTAGCCAGGTATGTAGCGCAACCCACCCCAATGCTATCTAGCCAGGTATGTAGCGCAACCCACCCCAGTGCTATCTAGCCAGGTATGTAGCGCAACCCACCCCAATGCTATCTAGCCAGGTATGTAGCGCAACCCACCCCAATGCTATCTAGCCAGGTATGTAGCGCAACCACCCCAATGCTATCTAGCCAGGTATGTAGCGCAACCCACCCCAATGCTATCTACCAGGTATGTAGCGCAACCCACCCCAGTGCATCTACCAGGGTATTGTAGCGCAACCCACCCCAATGCTATCTACCAGGTATGTAGCGCAACCCACCCCAATGCTATCTAGCCAGGTATGTAGCGCAACCCACCCCAATGCTATCTAGCCAGGTATGTAGCGCAACCCACCCCAATGCTATCTAGCCAGGTATGTAGCGCAACCCACCCCAATGCTATCTAGCCAGGTATGTAGCGCAACCCACCCCAATGCTATCTAGCCAGGTATGTAGCGCAACCCACCCCAATGCTATCTAGCCAGGTATGTAGCGCTAGCCACCCCAATGCTATCTAGCCAGGTATGTAGCGCTAGCCACCCCAATGCTATCTAGCCAGGTATGTAGCGCTAGCCACCCCAATGCTATCTAGCCAGGTACAGTGAGGGAAAAAAGTATTTGATCCCCTGCTGATTTTGTACATTTGCCCACTGACAAAGACATGATCAGTCTATACTTTTAATGGTAGGTTTATTTGAA